GCCACAATAATGAATATGGGCCGAAACACAACCGACACTATAATGACGCTATTGTAGTGTCTAATCGACTCGAACGAAAGATCTCGAACTCAATTATAAATATCACAGAAATCTAAATGTGATAACTATGGATGCACTCCAGGCTGATCAACTTGCAACGGATCTCTCGATGGATCCGTGTTTGTTCGACGCCCAAAGTATCGCACCATTCAAGACAGAGTAATGTGTCTTTTGTTCCATAAACTGTCTTTTGCTGAACCTTTCCCGTAGTAAAAATTTATACGACCATCTCTCTCAGCTGTCATTATATTATTTTATTATGTTTCATAAGATAGGTTGACAAACGAGCACACAGTCCACCTGATGGTAAGTGGTTGCTGTGGCCCATAGACATCTACATCTATCCTCGATTACGAATCAAAATGCAGATGCGTTGTCCCCCGTGAGGACTAAGATGGAATTCCTCATTTCCAATAAAAAGGGTCTCCGGTTCTCTACTCTACCATACGAAACACAGCAGCATTAAGCTACTATTTAACGCTGGTATTCTGTGAGAGCGTGGTCCTTCTCCGGTCGAGCCGAGCCATTCGTGCTATAACTATACTACTAATATAACTGCAGCATGGCTGTACCACCTATAAAATCATCATGATAACAGCCCTTCACAAGTCCACTGCTGAACATAGGCCTCCTCCTAGGAATGCCACAGAGAACGGTCCTGAGCCACCTGCACCCATCGACTTTCTGCGTTTCTTACCAGGTCGTCACTCCATCTAGTAAGGAGCTGCCCCACACTTTGCTTACCGGTACGAGGCTGCCACTCGAGAACCTTTCTTCAAAAACATAGTGAAAGTGCGTGCGTGTGTGCGTGCGCGTATGCGTGTACGTGTGCGTGCGCGAGTGTATGCTCGTGTCTGTGCGTATTTCTGTGCCCGTGCGAGTACGCTTCCGCGTGCGCTTGTGCATGTTCGTGTACGTGCACGTGTGCGTGTGCGTGTGCGCGAGTTTGTGTGTGCGTGCGCGTGTGTATATGTGTGTGTGTGTGGGATGTGGATGTGAGTGTAAATATGGTATATATGGATAATACGTATAACACCTTATGGGTTTCAGCATAGATTCCGTTGTGTATAATCAAGACTTTGTAGCCACTTAATAATATTTTGTTTACACTCCTTTTTACTTTTATTTTTTACATTAAACAAATTATTTACCTTTTTATCATGGACTTATATATTACTAGCGTAAGGCCAGGCCGACCGCGCAACTAAACCGGACCAGTGCGCTGACCCAAAAAGGGCCAACGCGACTCGGTCGACAGTGGTGTGCGCGCAGGGCAGATTTGCCTGTCTTAAATATGCCTAGTTGCGTGGTAAAAGGGTGCAAAAATTACGATAAAAAGATTAAAAGGAACATGGGATGTCGTATCATCGGTAAATAACTTTATATTCATTTTGTTACAATTAAATTATTATATAAACACATTTTTAAAGTTTTATTTTACAGTTAGTTTAGTTACGTTACCAAGATCAGGCCAGGGTTGGTTATTTAGATCCTCAAAAATATTGGACATGGAAAATAAAATTATACTATTTGCATTGAGCTGTTTTGTACTACGTACTAGAGGCGACACTGCATTCAGCTACTCTGTTCCACTCAACTGCGGTGCATACACCGCACTTTAATCAGTCATTCGCTAGCCGCTTGTAGAGTTGTCACGTGTTGTGTTGATTTAAAAAAAATCTCTTGATAAAAATATGCCGGCGGGTGTACTTAGATATTGCACAAATAATTCAAGAAATGTCAATAAAAACCAAGGAATTACTTTTCATTGCTTAATAAGATACTTAATCAATAAAAAAAGTATTATAGATTAATAATAAAACAAATTAACAAAGTAAACCACTTTTTAAACAGTTAAAACTTATGACATTGTGTTGCATGTACGTGTATGAAATTGGAACATTTGTAAAAAAAATATCCACATTTATTTCAAAGATGTATTGATAATTATACAGATAAAACATTTCCGCATAGAGATGTTACAAGATTAAATTTACGAAAGTGTAAAACTGTCTTTTATCAGAAGAGCTGTCCTAATATGTGTATAAGAGTATATAATAAAATCCCCAGCGATATTCGAAAATTGCCATTTCACTTCTTTCAAAAAACATTGAAACAATGGCTTATTCAAAATTTTTTATTCCCTAGATGAATTTTATTGTTATAGACCAAAGTGATATTTTAATATAATCTTGACTTGCCTTGATAACTGTTGACATGTACACCTTAACTTGACATTTTTTATTTTTTTATTTTATTTTATTTTGGTATTAAGACTGGATCAAATTTTGTATTATTTCTTGTTTATTGTTAACTTCTATGTATATGTGTGTTATTTATCTTGTGAGATTTTATTCCTAGGTTTATCACTAAATTGTAATTAATCATACCATAAAACATATTACCATAAAACATTTGTATAGCACTAGACTGACAATTATAAAATTGTATATTTGCATGCCACTGGCGAAATATGATTGTACCATACCAAATTATTAATCCTGTAACTACCATATTTCTTGCAAATAAATCATTATTATTATTATTATTATTATTCCTAAGACGCCATCTAGTGTCATGGAATATAGATTATGAAATTAATATGTTCAGATGCGACATTTCTGTGGGTACTTAAGTATAGGACGAATATATTATTATTCACATTTATTTTGTAGAAACATATATAAGTTATTATAATTAGGCTGAATTTTTCATGTTTAAATCTGCTTATTATTAATTTATTTTATTTTTAGGTTTCCACATCAAAGTCAAAGTAGAATAAATTCGTCCATTTTTAACTCTCGCGTGCACAGCATTTGTGAACGACTCTTACTCTAATTTAAATAAATATATTTGTAATTTAAATGTAATGTTAATAAGTTTTGTTAAACATACATTTAGTATGTTTTTTTTATATTTGACATAGATACCTTTTAAAATATACGAATAAAAGATAAAATATCATTAAAATGTAATTGTGATACAATATAATGTAATATTGTAATAAATAAGCAAATATAATACACACATATATACCTAATAAACGACAAAATGTAAATATTGTTCTCGATATAATTTACCTATTTAACAATAAAATCTACTATTACCTACGGATCATTCTACGTATGTTTATTCTATGATAAAAAAAACCAACCGCGCGAACACAGAGTAGCGCAGCGCACATTTTTTGTTTGAGAAAGCTGTTCTAGTACGTAAGTACATATTACTTCAATGACTATTTGTCAAAAATTAAATCACATTTGTTTCTTTTGTTTTGTTTCTTTTTACACATGTGCCGGGATTTTAGCGTCTAGATGCGTGACGCCAAAATCCCTCTAACTAAAAAAAACTCTACAGTATACGTTTCGTTTTTGTCGGTTTTATTTATATTTCAGTTTTATTTCTGTCTGAAAACCTTAGTGTAAGTTAAATTTTGAATATTGTTATCAAAAATATTTTATATTCAACTAGCTAGCCAGGCAGACGTTGTTCTGCCCCTTTCGACGACCCTTTGTCATGTCCCATTAAATATCCTTAAATTCGCAAAAAAAATAGTGGGCAAAAAAAACTATCCTATCTCTCAAGTTGAATCAAACTGCACACGGCGTGTAAATTTGATTAAAATCGGTTGAGCAGTTTAGGAGTCCATCGCGGACAAACAACGTGACACGCAATTTATATATATTAAGATAAGGGTAAAACGAAAAGAGTACAAAAGAAACGATACCTACTTAATTATAACTGAAAATCCGATTCATAAAATATTTTGTAATTCTGTTTTCAAACTGATTGCTTCTAGAGCATAGAGTTTTTATCGTGGTATCACGGACATGGTCATTACAGTTGTATCAAGGATGCAACATAAATGCATCGATCGAGCACCGATTGACCAGAAAGGGAGCTAATGCTAAATTTATGAAAAAAAAAAACGCGGTACTCATGTACAATACAGAAATTCTCGATATATTGGAAACATAAATATTTATTTTTAAACCCTACTAGACAACAAGCTTGCATGAAGATTGAAAGTGAGTCTATTATCAAAAATTATTCCCGGATATGTTAATGGACCCTTCCTAGACTAGGACAGTCAAAGTTTGTTTTGGGAGACAGAATGTTATCACAATGCCTGTGGGATATTATTTTAAGATTAGGAGGTAGTTTTGAAGACCGAATACTGAATGTAATAAGCTTTGTTATGTCAACATTGAGCATGACAACATTTTGTGTTGGCCAATCCGTTACAGTGCTAAAATCACGCTGAGCTGTTTTACATACCTTTTCCCACGTTGTGTAGGAAAACATAAAGGCATTATGGTCACAAAAAGCCATGTTTTCCCTTATCCATGCTGAGTTGGCACATATTGTTCCCATAAATTGAAAACAAAATTGGACCTCGGATTTTTGGGGAACACCGTATTTATTCTCCTCATAACCACCTATTTTTACACACTGTGTCCAGACACTTAAGTAGCTCCTAGTTTGTTTAGAAGTCTAGGGATCAAAACCACATCGAAAGTCTTAAGTATTATATTTTTTATATATAAAATAATGGTGACAAACGAGCATACCGTCCACATGATGGTATGTATCATGTGCTCTTAGACGCCAACATCTATTCTCGATTAAGAATTTAAATAGAGATGCGTTGTCAGCCCTGAGGGCTAAGATAGAATGCCCCGTTTCTAGTTAAACGCGCACCATACAAAATACAGCGGCATTAAGCAAACTCTAATATTCTTATTGAGAGAATTTCGCCGGTCGATCCGACATATTCTAGTGAAGGTTGCAGCATGGCTCTACCACGTACAAATAAAAATCATCTTAGATCATAATCACCCCCGAGGACTAAGAAGGAATGCTTTGTTTCCAGAAAAAAAGATTTCCGATTCTCTATACTCGTATATGATGGCTGATGTTAATAGAGTTGTTGCTTACAGTGCAATTCACCGTGCTTCGACGTCACGTCCACAGCAATGGAATAGTAAGGAAGCTGCGGGAGCGCTGTGGGAGGACCCGGACTTCCCGGCGGACGCAAGCGCTATTGGGGACCGCCGCCTGGCCGCCAACGTGCAGTGGTTGCGTCCATACGTGAGTTTCGCATGTTGTATCTGTTAACTCTTAAAAGGAAGAAAGCTCAAAAGGTCGAAAAATCTTCAGACGAAGAGAATTGGAAAGGGCAAAGATTTGCCAATTTTAGTGACCTACGTATTGCAGTTCATTGTGGTATCCATATAAAAGCCAAGATTTTTCACATAATTATGGAAAGGTATCATTATATCATTGTAATATAGCTAGTTCAAAGAACCGATTCGCAAGAAAGTTAGTCGCACTCTCGTACTTACCAGTGTTTTAGGTTTTCACATCAAAGTCAAAATGGTATAAATTCGTCCAATTTTAACTCTCGCGTGCCCAGCATTTATGAACGACTTTTATTCTAATTTAAATAAATATATTTATAATTTAAATGTTATGTTAATAAGTTTTGTTAAACATACATTTAGTATGTTTTTTATATTTAACTTAGATACCTTTTAAAATAATCAGATAAAAATATCATTAAAATGTAATTGTGATATAATTTTATCAAATATAATATACAAAATAAATGACAAAATTTAAATATTGATCTCAATATAATTTTGCTATTTAACAATACAATCTACTATTACTTTTCATCGGTTAATAAGATACTTAATCAATAAAAAAAGTATTATAGATTAATAATATATATTAATAATATATGTATTATAGATTAATAATATAATACAAGCTAAGTGTGGTGCGGCTCTCTACTAGATGGGAGTGATAACCTAGTAAGAGATGCAGGAGGTCAATGTATGTAGGCGGCTCAGGACCATGCTTTGTGGTATTCCTTGGCAGAGGCTTATGTTCAGTTGTTGTTGTATACCATTTTGTATACACTGACTTTTAAAAGGCTTTTGGCAAGGTGAATCATAAATTACTTATGGAGAAAATTTTATTTAACGGAATTCGTGGTAATTGATTGCGTTGGTTCACATCTTATATCTGAACAGAATTAAGAAGGGTGTTATAAATGGTTTCAAATCTAACACTATTTTTGTCAATTCCGGTGTACCTCAAGGATTGATTTTGGGTCCACTGTTCTTTATTTTATTTATAAATGACGTCAAAGTCTGTTTCAACAATTCTCATTTTTAATGTACACTGATGGTATTAAAACTTATTAAAATGCCCATACATTCACGACTTCTCACTTCTTCAAGAAGATCTTGACAGAATTTCTTAATACTCTTTAGATAATAAGCTTTACATAAGTTTGCCCAAGTGTAATGTGATATCTTTTACAAAGAACAAAAAACCTTTTAAGTTTAATTATTGTATCTATCGTATACCCTTACAAAAAGTTAACATAATCCGAAACCTTGGTTTAATGCTGGGTTTGAAATTACATTTGGGTCACAATATAGATTACATAAGCCTTTCAACACTAATATACAAAACAATCATTCGTTCACAACGCTGTACCAATCTGGAATCCCTTCTACAAAAATATAATTATAAATTGGAAATGATCCAAAAGAAATTTTACGCAATATCCATTAAAAGTGTTGCCATTGTAGAATTCTATACATACATTTATCAAAACACTGTAACTACTAAGTTTGGAATAGACACGCTAGTTTGTTATTTGATTTGATTGAAATGTGTAATAACAGATTTGACTGTGGTTACATCACAAATAAGTTATATTATATTGTACAGAGAACTGTAATTCTGCGCGCAGTGCAAGCACCTCAGTTGTTTTACACCATGAAGTGTAAAACAAACGCTGGAGCGCGGGCACTCCTCCGCCACCTCTTAGATAATTATAACACACTCTTCACAGAATATGTGATATTTTGCTTTGTCATCTATATAGTTTAAAAAAATTATAACTAAGTTGCTCACTGACTATAATGATACTATAATGATTTATAAATTATGTTACAATTAATATAATTTCCTACACTTTTATAGATTGCGTGTTAAACATAAGGCTATTAAACGTGAGGAAGTTTATAGTATTACTTTGTGGGCATTGGTGTGGGTTACACGTTAAGTACTCCTCTTCTAAATTAATTGTCTTGTATTACAATAATGTGTAACTGTTTTAGTCTCAATAAAATAAAATAAAAAAATAGCAGCTTAAAGCCTCTGTTTTCCTTATGGTCGAAAAGAACCGGAGACGCTTTTTACTCACATGACATACATTTTTGAAATAACATTTTTGAAATTTGGTGAAAACGCGTCTACATTTTGATTCTTAATCAAAGACAGATGTAGATGTCTATGGACCACAGCATCCACTTACCATCAGCCTCGTTCTATTAAAAATTAGTAAAAACGAGTCTGCTTCATTGAAAAGTTCAACATCAAGGATATGTAATATATAATAGGCATATTTCAGAGTTGGTTACGGTTCAGACGCGCATCGCTCACTTGCGCAAACAAACGTACGGTGAGGCGGAGACGTTCACTTTGTGCGTTGTACTAGGTGACAAGCTGATAAATCTGTGCGTTACGGTAATCGTACCAGTCTCGCTTGAGTCGGTGTAAACAATACACTATTATACTTCAGGCAACTTGATGACCATTTGACGCCGAAAAGCCTTTACTTCACTTCCGAGTATGTTATGTATAACTACTTACTATATGATTTTTTTTAGTTCTTTTGAAGTATATATGAAGGTGAATAGCTAAATGCTTCGCCATCCGTCTTGGCTCGAGTTACTAAAATTGAGAATCCTGCAAATCCCACGGATTCCGCATACGTCATCGCGCACCTTGGGTTATCCAAAAATCATGCGCTATTTCGGAATTTTGAGATATCAGTATACGGAAATTGCATGAGAAATAATTGTCTGCAGATTGAAAAAAAATTGGGAACATGTGAACTCCACCAACAAGCATTGTATATGGATTCTGTATGTTGAAAAGAAAACAGAAACGATAGTTATCATCATCGTCTCATATACTTTGATTACAGGGCTCCCTGTCTTCATCCCCCCTAACGCCTTTCTAACCTTGTGTAACTAATAATAATTAATATTTGCGCATGTTCACGTGCGTGTTGTTCACTGAATACCCGATGAACAGCAGCAAGTGCAGTTAGTAATTATATATCACTGGAATCTCAACAAGGAAGCGGGAGCACGGTCCAGCCACGATACGCCGCGCATCACCTGCTGCAAAAAGTCTGCAGCCACTGTGACGTAACCGCTACGTAGTACTTTTATGTATTTTGTGGTAACCGCGGAGTCAAGTTCACTAGACCCGTTCCTAAATAAAACCATTATATTACTTTCCGGTTCGCCTTTGTAAATTTAAAAACGTCTTTTAAACAGCTCATTTAATGTCATACCAGAACATAAATAAATAAATAAATAAAAATAAAATATGTTTGTAACTTCAAAACAACACATTTTTACTAAATGCATATAAAAGTATTTACGGTACTCTTAACAAAAAAAAATTTAATTTAGTGAATATTTTTGTCTGGCTGTCTGTTGGTTCCAGGTTCCAGCTAATCTCCGAAATGGCTTGACCGATGTTGACGGGACTTTCATTGGCAGATAGCTGACATTAAGGCCCGCATCCACTAGGCTCGCCGAGCCGAGCCGAATCGAATCGCAGAAAGTCGCCTCCTATATATTTACTACTGCTGGTGCCCGCGACTTCGTCTGCGCAGGATTAGTATTTCGAGTAGCTTATATTAGCGTAGAGTAGAAAAGAACTAACATTAGGACCGCCCACCCCGCCAACGCATCGCTCGCCCGCCACCGCCGGCGGTGCCGTGCCATATGTGTAACTCTAGCGGTTTTGGCAGCGCACGCCAGAATAGCTCGCAGTTGGTAGATTTTTCATACTTACTTGACACTTATCGCCATCGGACAATACAACACATAATAGCGTTATAAATTGTATCCTATATATTATTCTGATGTATAATTTATATTATTGTAGTTTTATTAAAATCCGTTCAGTAGATTTTACGTGAAAGAGTAACAAACATCCATCCATCCATACTTACAAACTTTCGCGTTTATAATATCCTACTAATATTATACTGTATTAACTTATACTGTATTAAACTGTACTATATTTAGATACTGTAGTATATTTACGTTGTATTTGTAAGTATATGTAAGTATTACTTATCCTACAATCAAATAAACATAAATAAAACAATTGTAATACAAATTAAATTAAAATAAAAAGTAATCTATATTTCTATTTAAATTATACTAACTAAAAATAATAATTATACCTACCTACTGTACTAAATAATAAATCTCTTCGAGAATCGAATTAGCTGTAAGAAAGGACGCAAACTGAACATAACCGTCAACGACGTCTGCCCTCCGCGTCTACCCGCGTTCGGGTCGCGCACTCGGCGATCGCGCGTCGTTGCTTGGACCACTCCTCCACCCCCGCTTTGCGTTGGTGCTCCATTCATCTCAATTTTATCGTGATAACTTTTAAACTATTCGTCCAAATTACTTTGTGTAAAAGACAAATTTCATCTACATTAAATATTAAAAGCGACAAATGTATCAATTTTGATAATAATTTGATAAATACTCTAAAATGTGCATTGTAAAAAAGTATCAAATTTAATTGTATTTATGGCTCACTATTTTGGATATAATGGCTTCCACATAAAAGGTAGATATATGCTTTTTTATTTATTTCGAACTACTTAAGATAAACAATCCCACGGTATATTATCTTCATGTAACTCCAACGGTTTAGGCAGCTCACGCCAAGACAGCTCTCATAGGGCAGGAATTTTTCGACTTACTTGATACTTATCGTTATATGTGGCGGCGCTATCGTCGCGCCGCAAGCGAAACACACCGAAGCTTAAATCACGCTATCAACATTCCGAATCATAAACAGCATATATATAACATCTCCGAACTATCACACGGAGCGTTGGCCGCTCCCCGGGCATAATACCTTGCCCGGCGGGAGATCTCCCCTTTTCCTTTCACGGCCACAGTGGTGACCACCCGACGTGATCTGAACACGTAAGCAACAACCTTCGGAAACTACAGCTTCAAGCC